AGATAACAGCAGACAGCAGCTGTATCTGCAGATGAACAGTCTGAAGATTCTGCTTTTTATTATTGTGCTTCAGACTCAGCTGTACAAAATCCTACAGGACTCATCTTTACTGCATTTATCACATATGACTACTTCAAGTAGTCCAAGAAAATGATTCAGTACAGTTACACCAAACACTTTGTGAGAAACACAAATGTTTGATTAGAAAAAATATTTCTAAGCAGAGAATGTAGAAATCAGATTACTAAATCTGCATATTGCTTGTTCCACAGAGCTTCAATAAAACAACTCAGAGAAGTAGCTGAATAATAAACAGCATTTACAGTTCAGTGGTTTCAAACGTCTAATCTTAGATTTAATCATGATACATAAGAGCCCTTTCATATACATCATTTGACAGACAAACCAGCAGACCTTTTCATGTGCTGTTAGTTTTTTGCATATGTCACACAGGTTTCAGTTTCTAAATATTTCCTTTTTTTGAGAACTGAAACCTTTAAATGTCTAAAATCCAACCAACTGCAGTATTAGTATTACATTATCTTGCTTTCACCTCACTTGTTTTTACAGCAACAAAATAAAATACACAAACATGTACCACATTCCTTCATTTTTATGATTCAATAATCTTTTTTCAAGTTATAAAAAAGTAAATGTTCAGTCTGAAAATGTCTGTTTTCTGATGAGATATTGTGCCCAACATCAGTTAAAATGAGCCCCTCCCTCTCCGTGATATCCTGATGCAAATCTTCAGTCTGTGCAGTGTACTTCTGTCCTGCTGACTGCTCTTGTACTTTGTGTGGAGCATCAGAGGTCACATCTCCAGCCTCAGGATGATCAACACACTCACTCTTCTGCTGGTTGCTCTCTCTCTGCCCTGTGAGTTCTCCTGCTTCCTGCTGTTTTATCTTTTATCAGACAACATTGACTGATGGTCAGTCAGTGATCCCAGAAAACTTCCCAGATGACTGTCTCGCTTTCTTCTGTGGTTCCTCTCTCCTTTCATCTCATCAGGTTGTACAGGTCAGAGTATGCAGTCCATTCCTTCCAGTTCAGTAGTGAAAAAGCCTGGGGAGACTCTCAGTCTCTCCTGCAGAGGATCTGGGTTCACATTTACCTGCTGCAGTATGCACTGGATAAGACAACCTGCAGCAAAAGCACTGGAATGGATTGGGGTTGGCCACAATCCTGCCAATAGTAACACTTATGCCAGCAGTGTAAGGACGAATAGAAATCAGTAGAGATGATAGCAACAGCATGGTGCTGCAGACTGTCCAACTTAAAGCCAGAGGACTCTGCTGTGTATTACTGTGCCAGAGACACACTGGTTAAAGGAAGCAGAGAGGCTTTACAAAATCTCCTCAGAACATTTGTTTACAAAGACCTACAGGTGGCAGTAGAAGATATGAAGTCAGATGACACTGACTCTAAGAACACGCAGGTGCACACTATGAAAGCAACACTTGCTGTTGTGGTTTCTGACTTCCTTTTTTGTATAGTTTCAATCAACATACAATGGTTAATAGGTACTGGGGGTCAAATACAGACAGTCAGAGGTTAAAAGGACTGGAGAATCCCACAGACTGACCTGCACATATTCAGGGTTTGGCCATTAGAATGCTTGGATCAAACAGGCTGCTGGAAAGGGACTGGAGTGATTTACAACTATCAGCTGGAGTAGCAGCAACAAATAATAGGCTACTCTCAGTCAGTCTAGGGAAGGTTTACCTTCTCCAGAGATAACAGCAAATAGCAGCTGTATTTAGTGTTATAGTCAAGACCACCCAAGCTGAGACCAACTCATGACCAAGACCAGAGAGTATCGAGACCGAGACAAGACCAAGACGCTGAGGGGTTGAGAGCAGAGCCAGACCGTCCTATACGCTCACTTTGCACGTTGCGTAAGGCCTTAAGCAGGGTCCCGCACTCTATTGTCAAAGGTGAAACCTGGTGTCAATGTTTACAATTTAAAGAAAGGATGAAGAGGTAACCATGCTTCTGAGCACGATAAGAGAAAAACTCAATGAAAGTGAACTGCAGCAACAGCAGTCAGGTAAACTGTTCTCTCCTCTCAAACTTAGATGTCAGCATATATCAGTCATGTTGGTTAATGTGCAGCTGCAGTGAATCTCTCGTCTGTCTGTCTTGCTAATGTGGTGTCCAAACAATAATGCTGCGATGATGTGTTATGAAGAAATCCGCTTGACACTGTTCTTGATCATAAAAGTTTATTACATCAAAGAGTTCAGCATCAATTACAAGCTCTGCAGCAGCTTGGGGAGTGACCCAGCCCGATGGCCACTCATCAATGTACATCGAACAAAGCTTATATAGGATATGTGTAGGTATCTGTTAGGTACCATAGCAGGGTTTGAGTCTGCAAAATAAAGCTCCAACCCATAGAAGGGTACAGTACTATTCTGAGGTAACAAAACAAGGGGTTAGAGGTCAAATTCTATAGAAGGGTTTAGAACATGCGTTCACGCGCACAAAATTAAACTTGCGCATTCTGGCAGCAACATCTGTGTCGACCTATACAATCTATGGTGCCGACCAATCCAGACAATACACGGATGTGATGGCACTCCTCATGGGCGCACATCAGTATATAAACGAGACAGTATGTGTCTCTCAGTCAAGGTGTAGTTACAAATCTGAACTAATGGCAGGGTAATATGGATGCACATATCATAGTAAATAAGCGATATAGTCAAATCATAGTATAAATAGTATTTTTCCCTTTGAAATGTATTAAAGAAAACTGTTTGAATGGACCTGATGCAGCTGATAACGTTAGTAACTTGCAAGTAGCCTATTCTTATTTATAATTTACAGGGGCTGTACTGCAGTTTGTCAGTAGAGTAGATGCTGGATCATCAGCCAGTACAAGCACAGTTATGAGCACAGACCCAGTACAGACGAAATGCAGGCAGCCTCAGCATTATGTGCAAAATGAGCACAGCCAGAGATGTAAAGCTAACATTTTATATACGAGCAGCTCAGACCCTAATGAAACAGTTGCTGCTCCAACAAATGAGCCAGCAGAATGGCCCACAGTCTTAACAGACTTTATGAAGATTCAGTTAATGTACAGAGGTCCATTCAAACCAGCACTGGATTTTTCTAGAAGAGGTTTCCATTCAGGCCTATTACGGAGACAGACTGTTTTTAAGGAGGAAGGATTGTAGCGAGAGCACTGCAGTGTCCCAAAGATGTCAGAACTGGCTCTGGTTGAGACCATGTCAAGACCAACACAAAGGCAGGGTAAGACCGAGTCAAGACAAAGACCAGTGCCCCAGACTACATGACACACGATAAAATGTAGAACATGATCATAGACACTTCTCAAATTGATCTGAAAGGTTAACATTTTCATTAAAACACCCAACATTAAACACTAAGAGCTGAAATCAACTCAGCTATGACTCCTGGGATCTCATGATTCTTCTCAAATATGTCTCAGTTTTCTCATATTGGCCTCAGGAGCAAAAGATGAGATATCTACAGTATCTTAAATAAGAGTAATTTCAGTCTCCAGAATGTGGAATAGAAAAAAAGCTCCAAGATATTTCTCATTTTTTTCTTAGTGACCCCACTTAGTACTTTACTTATGTCAAATGTTGAGTATTTTCTTTTTATGGGGGTTTGTACTTTTACTCCCCTTAATCTCAAATCCTTATTGTATTTATTGTTAATTATCTGTTACAAGTTACTGAGAAAAATTAAATACATTTTGACATTGAAAATAATGCACTTTCAAATGTCATGTTTTCCAATTTGTTAAGGTCACAGCCAGCATAACTGGAACACCCGATACTTTGACATGACGTTTAGAGATTAATTCATTCATAATTCATATCTGTCATACAGAATAAGCACTTTTACTTTTGATACTTAAGTACATTCACTATGGAATACTTTTATACCTTTTACTTGAGTAGAATTTTGAGACCTTTAAATGGGGATATGGTATTTCTCCTCTTTTAAGTAAAGGAAAATTGTACTCTATTTAATGACAATAAGTCCTTCATTATTAATTTAAGATGGATGGCGCAGCGGCAGTGTTGTTGCCCTTTAAACAGCAGGAGCGGGGTGCAAATCCTGCTCTGAGAACCTCCAGCACAGTTGTCCAAGCACAGACAGTGATGTGATACAATCAAGCTCACAAACATCTCCCCAGAGCTCCCAACTGCTTTTTAGGAGCAATAAGCAAGACATTAATAAACTCAAAAAGATACAACGATGAGATCTCATTTGTTACTTTAACTTATCAAAATTGTAATCTCAATTCAGTATACATTTGTCTCAAGTCTCAAAACCTCAATCTCTCTTCATCTCATCCTTTTCTCCTAAGGGGATATACTATTGAGATCTTAGTGTTTTCTCAAGAGTCAAAGAAAAGACTATTCTGAGCAAAAGATTTTTCCTCTGGGAAGTCGTGTGTTTGGTTTCCCACACTAAAGAATGAATTACAATTATCAACCTATTGCACAAATTATACTTAAACATGAGAGAGGGACTTTTGGAAGAATGACTCATGTACAGTAAACATTCATCCTGTGAGGAGGAGTCAGTGCAAAACTCAGAAGTGTTCCATATCCAAAATATCAACAAATGCTTAATTGGAATATTGTTTTAACAATTACTTGAACCCGGGCAGCAACACCATTTTTATCACATTTAAACGCCCTGTAAGGGAAAGTGGAAAAGACCTCAAAAAATCAATGCATTACTTTGATTTGTCTAACTGGAATGAAAACCTGCTTAATGTTGATCGCGGGGGCCGGAGCCAATCACAGATAAGACTGGACGAGAAGTGGGATCGGTCACCAGTCAATTACAGGAATCGTTCATTTTCCATTTTCACCAAACAAAAACTGAATACCAGACCTGACACAGCCACATACTCCCTGTGAGGAGGAGTCAATGCAAAACTCAGATGTCTTCCACCTCTACTTATCTGACTGCAGAGAGGATGACAGAGAACAGTGGACACACAGTTTAACATGATGGACTATAGGACAGGACTGCTGCTTTTAACTGTCTGCTGGGCAGGTGAAGATCTTCACTGATCTTTATTAAATGTTTTCTTGTAATGTGTCAGTTTGTTACATGTTATGGTTTTCTTTGCTGTCTTGACAGGTGTTGATGGTCAGACTCTGACAGAATCTGAACCAGCTGTTAAAAGGCCTGGAGAATCCCACAGATTGACCTGTAAAACCTCTGGATTGTCCTTCAGCAGCTACAGCATGGCCTGGATCAGACAGGCTCCTGGAAAAGGACTGGAGTGGGTTGCTACTATAAGCGATGGCAGTAGCTACATCTACTACTCTCAGTCAGTTCAAGGCCGGTTTACCATCTCCAGAGACAACAGCAAAGAGCAGCTGTATCTGCAGATGAACAGTCTGAAGACTGAAGATTCTGCTGTTTATTATTGTGCTCGAGAGTCACAGTGACTGGAGTTGGTTGAGCAGCTGTACAAAAACCTACAGATCTCACCATTACTGTGCTGATAGATCCTGAGAAAGACTTCTGTTTTCTTTTACATTTTTGTTGTTGTTGTATTTAATTAAACCGGGAAATCAGGCCATAGTTTCCTAGATCATCATTAACCAACAGCAATAAATACATAAATAAAAAGTACTTAATGTATTAATCACTTCATCACAAAACAGCCAATGACATCATTGTCCAGGTTTGAAACAAGAAATACTACATGTACACATTTCAGTCAAATTAATTTATTTAAGTAATTTGGCATCTCATAATAACAATGTTGCAGTTCCTATTTACAAACACTAGAGGGCAGGCAGGGTCAAGTTTCTCTCTCCTCTGTCTCTATAAGGAGACTCTTATGTCTGCTGATCTCATTGATCTTAACTGACTGACTGAATTTGACTTTAATAAAATAAAACTTTAACTTTTAACACTCTTAAAACATTTTAAATACTGGATCAGCAGTGACTGCAGCGTTATATGTTCATTTCATTGTAGTTCCCCATCTAAAATAGACTTCATGATAAACAGCTTGAAAGAGTTGCTGTTCTTTCGTGTGCGAGATATTGAGATGAAAACTGAATGAATAAATGATTCTGAAAAAAAACAAACTCACTTCCTGGGCTCTTAAAGGAAAGCAATTCCTTCTTTACTTCCTTCCTTCCAACACTGATCTCTGATACATTTACCATTAAATGATGGCAAACTAACATTGAAACACACCTCATCAATACAAATATATTTGTCAGTGTGTTGGGACAGTTTATCATGACACATCTGCATTTATAAGAAGACAACTTTACTGTAACATAATTCAACCAGAGTGAAAACTTTAAAAAAAAAACCTAACATCAAGACTTTTTACAATAAATCATATCATGACAGACTATACAGGTGCATCTCAAAAAAAATAAATATCAAATTTTTTAAACTGCATTGGAAAGTCTGAGCATTCAACAAACTTTGCCATCAGGTTTCAAATCCAAATTCAATTCTTGTAAAAATATTAATTGTCACACACATACAAACCAGACACACAGGTGTGCTGAAAAGAAACAATATCATTTTCAAAAATGGACAAAGACAGCTCATATAAGCTCTTTCAAAAATGTGTTCTTTAAATAAAAAACAGATTCTCACACTAGACAGGGTTAATTGAGAAGAAACACTGTTTACACCTTTAACTGATTTAAATGATAATAATTGAACCGATTATTCAACAGTATGCAAATAAAAGTTACTCATAAGGAAGTGAAGTGTGTGTGTGTGTCAGTGAGAGGACAGAAGAGCTCACATCAGTTCAGCTTCAACATCAACATGTTCTCTGCAGCTCTGATACTGCTGCTGGCAGCTGGATCCTGTGAGGAGCTTTCAGTGGATTCACACTAATAAACACATTAGAAACACTGAATAGTCAGATGACTGATGGAGATAATGTTGATTTCTGTTTCCACAGGTGTGAACAGTATTGATCTCATCCAGCCAGACACAATGGTTGTGCAGCCTGGACAGTCTTTGTCCATCACCTGTCAGGTCTCTGGTTATTTTTTGACTGATAGCAGCTATGCAACATGTTGGATCAGACAGTGTGAAGGAAAACCAATGGACTGGATTTTTCACATGTGGGGAGGAGGCAACTTTTACCAAAATAATGATCTGAAGAGCAAGTTCAGCTACAGCAGAAACACTTCTGCTGAAACAGTATCTATAAAAAGAAGTAATCTGCAGCCTGAAGACACAGCTGTGTATTACTGTGTACGTCGGCCCACAATGACAAAAACCACCAACAGACCTTCACAAATACTCAGCAACCTGTGAGAGACAACGTCTTGTTAACAAGACATACACAGTAACTTCCTGGAAGAAGTTTACTTTCAAAATATATTATACATGTATATTAAATATGTATACATAAATTATATATTTTTTTAATAGTTGTGTTCTGTCTTCTTGTATGTTGATGCTTGGAGAAAATGAAAAAGACATTTGTTTTGTTTATGTGCAAAGCGATGGACGATACAGTCCTTGGTGTTTGCTCTTTTGTTTGCTTTTCCTTTTGTTTGATGATTTTAATGAATAGGTTTTACATTATCCATGATTTGTGTTATTTTTAATCCCATCGGTCACAATAGAAACTCAAAAAAAACTTTTTTCATTTATAAGGCTCTAAAAATGTTATCAATACATTTTAAGCAAATACTGAAATAATAGATGGTCTCAATGAAACATGTGCAGTATCACGTGTTTAGTCTAAACTGTCACATGACCAGAGCTGTTTACTTCCTGGTTGCACCATGAGAAAAGGATGGCTGCATCAAACCTCCCAAACAAAAGGTTTGTTAACATAAAGATAGGATGGAGAGTTTTGGTACACATTATCTTTAAGGTGTCTAGTATTAATATATAATTATTTGAATTTACTGAACTTCAGTATTCAGCATGGTCATAGAATGAGTAATCATTTTGACGGCAGCAATAGTGACCAGTGGGATAACAGGGGACAGGTGACCACATTAACAATTCTTGTGCTATCTGCTAGTGATGGGCAAAGCAAGGCTTTGTGAAACATTGAAACGTTTGAAGCAATTATGCCGGGAATTGTGTCGAGGCTTCAAACTTCGACACCCGTCTCCACGGTTTCATTGAAACAATGACTGACCCGCATTTACAAAAAAAATGCAGATACTCGCAAGACATAAAAGGAATAGAAAAAAGAGGTAGTTGCAGTTAGTGAGTAGAGAATATAATTAATCTTAAACTTATAAAGTATACAAATCTAAGAATATAGCCTAATAATAAATGTGGATATCTACAGTATTATACAGTAGCTTATTAACAAAGGTGTAATGATAATTAGCAGGAAAGATATAGGCCCTAATGCAATAATTAATAATAATAAGTGCTGGCAGTGATGAGGTGTAATGGATTAAAAATCCATAACTGAGTAAAGTTTAAGTTGTTTCAAGAATGATAGGCTAAATGAAAAGTCTCACATTTGCTATATGTCAAGAATTGTATTCAGAAATATTCAGCTGTTTTGAGGCTGAGTTGGGGGGGTTCGTAATTGACATCCCAAGCCTTAGAAAAATTTGGTCACATGGAACATTTGTTGCTGTCAAAGATGAGTATTTTTTTTGCCATCATAGGCCTACAGGTGCAAATATAGGCTACTACAGCACATCACTCCAATAAATCAAATGATCATGGGTCCTTGGTATAAATCTGTCAAATGAGTTAGAGTCTGATGTGTGGTTTGTTCCAAACACTGAATCAAGCATAGAAGCAGCAGGTGTGCCACCTGTCGAAACAGGGGTGAAACGCACCGAAGCCTCGCTTCACAATGGTCATGTGACATTGACGTTTTGAACCACGCTTTGGAGGAGTGTTTCGAAACGTCTGTGCTTCGGGATTTCGACACAGCGTCGACACGTCAGTATCGAGCGTCCCATCCCTACTATCTGCTTGTTTTTACTTTTAGTTTTACTTTGAGTCAAGTTCTGGGTATGTTGGCTCTAGGTGACCACCCAGACATGGCATGCACCGTGATATATCAAAACAAAATCCCCCTCTCCCCCCTCCTTGTGGGATGGTATGTGTCATCCTCAATTCCAGGTCCTCTACCAGAGGTCTGGCAGTTAGATGTTCCTAGGACTGCACTCTTCCGAAATGAGACTTCTGATGTTGTACCTGGAATGTGCTGGAGCCACTCTCCCAGTTTAGAGGTCACATCCTCGTGTTTCTGCTGCCTGAGGTATTCACTTAGTCCTTCATCTTTGGGGGCCATCTTCCTGATGTACTCCTGGATCTTTGTTGTTTCATCCTGGACAGTGGTCTTGACAGTCACTAGCCCTCAGCCTCCCTCACTCCCCCTAGTAAACAGTCTCAGGGTGCTGGATTCGGAGTGAAACCCTCCATGCATTGCGATGAGCTTCCTTGTCTTGATTTCAGTGGCCTCTTTCTCCCCTTATGGCCAGTTTATTATACCAGCAGGGTATCTGATGACTGGCAGGGCGTATGTGACGATGACTCAGATCTTGTTCTTCCCATTCAACTGACTTTTCAGGACCTGCCTTACTCTGTGTAGGTATTTGGCTGTGGCTGATTTCCTTGCTGTCTCCTAATGGTTCCTGTTTGCCTGGGGGAAGGTTTTTGTAGCTGTCCTGAACATCTGCAATGGTGCCTTCTGGTACTTCCACTCCCTTGGTTCTGATCATTTTCCCTCTTTTGATACCACCTGACCGCACTTGTCCAGTCCGAATGACATTCCAATGTCCAACACTTATGTAGGCATGATTTAGTCTTTCCTCCTCTTTTGTCATGTTCACAGAGACTAAACGAAAAACCTGGCCAAAATGAAATTGTGTCCAGAAGTTGTTTAAGTTGTTGATTGGCGCATGCATGTTTTTGGGTCATTTTATAATAAGTAGCTTGTTTGTTTTGGTTTAAGTTACTTTTTTGGACAATGCACATTTGTTTCTTCTATATTTTAATTGCATTTTATGTTTTCTTAATATGTTAATCCTTTCTAAAGATATTTTCATTTGTTATTTAACCACAAGCTATATTTCAGATAGTTTTTTAACAAAATCAGCCATTTCAAAAAGTGGTGGGGACATGTCCCCAGTGTAAGTGCCCCCTTCAGGTGGTTCTGTTCCTTCTCTCTGGCTTGGGCGCTTGTTGGTGTGTGGTGCAGTGTTAACACTGCACCACAGAGCAGAAAACACACCAACAAGCGCCCAAGCCAGAGAGAAGGAACAGAACCACCTGAAGGGGGCACTTACAGCCTGTGGATACCCTAAATGGGCTTTTGTGAAGACAGCCACATAATCCAAGAAGAACAAAACTACAGGGGAGGAGGAAAAGAAGGTCAAACGCAACAACATTGTGATTCCATATGTGTCTGGAGTATCAGAGAAACTCAGGAGGATTTTTAACAAACATAACATCCCTGTGTTTTTTAAACCCAAGAACACACTAAGACAGATGCTGGTACACCCCAAAGACCGCACACCCAAACACAAGAAAAGCAATCTAGTGTATGCTGTCCAATGCAGTGAGGAATGCACAGACCTGTATATTGGGGAGACTAAACAACCACTACACAAACGCATGGCTCAACACAGAAGGGCCAACTCCTCAGGTCAAGACTCTGCTGTCTACTTACATCTGAAGGACAGAGGACACTCGTTTGAGGACCACCAGGTGCACATTTTAGACAGAGAAGATGGATGGTTTGAAAGAGGTGTCAAGGAAGCCATCTACACCAGGGTTGAGAAGCCGTCGTTGAACAGGGGAGGGGGTCTACGCCACCACTTATCCCCCACTTACAATGCTGTCCTTTCATCACTTCCCAGGAAACTCA